TTGTAGTTGTACTTTAAGCACAATGGGAAACTGGATGATTTAGTATGTTGAATGTAAGGTGAATTAAACGAACTTAGCAAATAGGAATAAAGTGTCATGTTGTCAGCTCTTCCCTCTTAGGCTTAACCCCCACTCACACCAGAGTCTACTTAGAATTTTTCTTTTAATAGTTCTGTCTTTTGGGTGAAGACCTCCAAGATTAGTGAAAGAGCACCCAACTGTCAGGCAAGCTGACTTATTTCTTAAACAGCTTTTAATTTGGTGACTACAGACATTTATTTTAGTTTTAGGTTTATTCATTATGGAAGAATTTTCTGTTAAAATTGTACTTATACATTACCTGAATTTATGAGTATCTGGAAGTTTGTTAATGTCCAAAAGTTATGTGACTTTTTATTCTAAAAGATATTGTCAAAATGCAAAGCTATAAAATTGCACAAACATCTGCATGCACAGGCACACACACACACACACACACACACACACACACACACACACACACAAACATACAAATTGTACTATACTCAAGACATACTAATTCCAAATTCTAGCATGCATAGTACAAGCAAAATATAAAATAGCTAGTTTTAAATGTCAACTTGAGGACCATAAGAAATGGCTCAGTGGTTAAGAGAAATTGTTATTCTTCCAGAGGACCCAGGTTCTATTCTAAGCACCCACATGGCAGCTCACAGCCATCTGTAGCTCTAGTTCTAGGGACTCCAACACTTTTCTTTGGTCTCAGGCATGTGTGTGATGTTTATGACAGATACAGAAGCTGTCAAAAACCAAATATACATAAAACATAAAATATTCTAAAAATCAATTTGAAATTCAGAGAAGCCCGAGGATCCTTTTAGAACTTATTCTTTAATTAAAACATACTAATCATATTAGTTTTTTAGAAAGTTCTCACATGCTGTATTTCTGAGAGCTGGATTTTCTTAGTGCCTGTCTGTTTACCAATATAGTTGGTGGCATGAACCTGGGAGAGTGGGACTTAACAATAAGGCAGATTAAAGTCTCATGCAATAAGAAACTTCATTCAGAGCATCAGACAATTTATACTCTGAGGATATAATCATAGGAGTAAGGTGTTCAATCACAAGGACAAGTCACATTTGGAAGAAACATGTCTTTCTGTAGAGGCACATGGATAGCAGCAGCTGAAGTTAACTCACTACTGTCTGCTACACCTGGAAGGAGCATGACACTACACTCCAAGAACAGTTCAGTGTTTTAAAGAAACTGAGATTGCAAGAATTTTTGTCTTGGAGACTTCTCACAAGTGCTTAGAATTTTCACACAACTCCATTCTTGGACTGTACTCCAATACCTGTCTATTCCATTAGATTTACAGTATCTGGTACTTATGGTTTAATACTTATATGTAATGTATTTCATAATTAATTTTAATTCACATTCTAGGATGTAAAGATTTTGGAAGAGACTAGTTTTATTTAATACATTTCCTTTATTCTCTTATAAGCTAACTAATCCAAGCTGGGCATGGTGCTATGTATCTGTAATCCACATCATTTGGGAGGCAAAAGCAGGAGGCTAAATACAACTTTGGGACCAGAAGATTTACAAAGCAAATTCCAGTCATACTATCCCTACAAGGAGTGACCCTGTCTCAGATCAATTCAAAATTTTATTCAAATTACTAATTAATCATTGACATGGATGAGGTAAAGTGTTCATGACTGCTAATAATTACCTAGTTCTCAATGTCTCACCAGTAATTAACATATCTACTCTAATCATTTCATTAGTACATTTATAATATTCAGATATAACCAAAGTAATAGCATTTTATAATCTCATCAACCAGTAAGCTGATAACCTCTGAGTGCTGGTGATAAATTTTTAGATATTTTCTTTGCAAATATATAGGCAGGTCTTTGTGCATAGTAATTATTCATTGAATATTTGCTGAAACACTAAGTCCTCCCACATGTATACAAACTTCTCACTGAAGCAAACAAGTACCTATATCATCAAGTAAACCAAGAAAAAATAGATGAAGAAGGCATAGATGGAGGTAGAATCCCATGTTGGGTATCTCAAATATTAGATACTGTCTGAGTTACAAAGTAGACCAGAAATTCAAAAATGTGAGTCTACTCTTTAAGGTTTGATTAGCAAAATAAATTTTGGAGGCCATTAGGAGTGTGTTTTAATTCAAGAATTATAAAATGAAAAATAAAAATTCAAAAGTCCATAAAGGATATAAAAATGTGATTAAGGTAATGTGTGTATATAAACATGTATAGTATATGTTTGTATGTTACATATATGAGATATGCTGGTTGAAAGATTCAATAATAATACAAAATAAGTTATAATACAAAATAAATTATACAAAATAAGTCTCAAGTATTTTAATGTTTTATTTGAAAATTATCACATTATTTTTATGACATTTTTGAGTTGTTCTTCAAAATTTTGTGAAAGGGGAGAAATGAAAAACAACCATTTTATTTATATATACATACATGCATATGTAGAAGTGTGTACATATATGTTTGTATGCAAATACACAATAGAATTTTGCTGAGCAATAAAGAAGAATGAAACTATATCATTTGCATAAAATGGATGTGACTGGATAATATCACATTCAGTGAGTTAAGTCAGACTCAGAAAGACACATATTACTTTTTTTTTCATTTGGGGACTCTAAATTCTCTGTTGAGTCATAAAATCGTGTATGCATATAATATAAGAGTATAGATTGTGAAACTGTCTAGGGAAATTAAGGAGACCAATAGGACTTGGAAAAGAAATAAAGGGGTATATAAAACCCCATACTAATGGGGTCAAAGTAAAATTCACACTTATATAAATATATTCTTATGAAATACAATACCATGTACAATAGATATACTCTAATTTTAAAAAATCAGCGAAGTGATATAGCAACAAAGTCAATCTTCTAAATACATCCCCTTGTTACCATAAATCCTTACATCCTTCACCTCTCACCAGAGGAGTTTCTTAATGTGGTGGGTGGTGGTTAATACCAAGACTCTCAATTTGTCAAATTGAGGAGAATAAGTGCCTGTGCTTGGTTCTAACTGGGACATGCCCTCCTAATGACTCAGGGAATACCCAAAAAGAAGCTGGAGAGGGACTGCTGAAAAAAGCATGTCTTCTGGGCATTACAGAGCTAGTACATTCATGAACTGGCTGCAGCTGTGGTTGCCTTCATAAGCCCTTTGTAAGATTAACTCTGTCCATATGCCAGCATGTGTGAGGTACTTTTACCAGGTCTCACTCCTAACAGAGGAGCTGTTGGCAGGTGATGGATACTGAGGGAGGAAAAGCCAGTTTCTTTAGTGACAGTCCATGGTAAGCTGCTCATGGTTTACCAGATACAGTTATATCCATCCACACATGCACTACTAACAAGATTCAAGAGGAAAGGAGGGGGAAAAAAAGGGGGAAGAAATGCTAATGAAGTTGGGAACAGGAAATAGTAAGGGTCCAGGAGGACTTGGATTACAAATTGATTAGGGAATGGTTATAATTGTAAGACATTGTATTCACATAAGAAAATACTTAAAAATATTAATTAAAAAATCTTTCTCACCTTAAAAATGAACAATGGATATAGGTAAGTAAAAAATTAGAACACCAACTACTCAGACCTGTGGAGGAATGCACATTCTCCCCCCAAATAAGGGAATTGACAGATCCAATAACATACTTAACAGTCTTTATACTGAAGATACTTCAGGAAACAATAGCATCAAGTGTGGGTTTCCACTTAGACATGAGAACACATGTGTGTGAACAGCTGATGATTGTTCAATGGGCTCAACAACTTTAGAGGCCTTGCTGCAGTACCTTGTTCCCCACAAGCCACCATAGAAAACTGATTATCATTTGGAAGATCACTACTTCAGGCTGCCTAGCCAAGCCTTTTTGTTTCCTGACATTAATTCTAAAGAAACAGTCACCTGATTCTTCTCTCAATAGTATTAGAAATGAAATTATCAAGTAAGGCTCATCAAGCATTTAACAGGTTTCCTTTACACAATTTGTGATCATTATGGAAATGCATATGTACACCTTTTTGTTTTTTAAGTGTGCTTAGAATTTAATATTAGTCGTAATATATATTCTGATTCATGACTTCAAGGAAACAAATGATGTAAAATAAATTGCAAAAATTATGTTTTTCATCAGATATTAAGAGACTACTGAATTTTTACCAAGAATATAGCTTTGACTAGTCATATCTTCTTTCATTGCTTGGTTGGGTTAATATGGGTTCCATTGTACTCAGATACTGTTTTTCTCTATAGCCCAGTCATAGTGGCCTCACACTTCTGATTGACAGACATGGGGGCATTGAGACTACAGGTCATTGCTACCATCATGAACTACCATCTAAAATTCTTAAGCAGCAACCCTTTATCAAAATAAACACCTTGCATGGTTTGGAACAGAGGTTTTCTATGACTTCCATTAAAGGTTTATCAGCATCTGGTGTTTTACTGACAGAAAGAACTACCGGTTTAAAATAAGCATTTCTATACAATTTAATTTTTCTAAAAATCAAATCTTCGTATCTGTAAAATAAATGCCTTTTGCTAAAAATATCGTTTCATCTTACAACATTTTAGGATGTTTAGTAAAGAACTATTTTTTTTTCCTTAGAAACCTAAAAAATAAGTCTGCTTCCCCATGTTTCTTAAGTAGAGGGAGAAGGGATTTAGCAGCATGAGTTTGGTCTTATGGTTAATTATCCAGGTTGAATGTGCCCATTTGCAATTGTTCTTAGCCAGCTCCAGAAGCTGGAAGATATTTAACTCAGCAAATCTCACAGGACCATCTCAAAGGTCTATGAGAACTACTTCCTTGGTAGAGAACAGGCCTTAATGTGAGACCAATTCACTCCTTCTTGTTTATAACACACATTCTAGCATATCTCAATTAGGTATAATAAATCACGCATAACTGTATAGGAGACATTAACTTAGTTACTCTACCTGTGGACACAGAGTTTCCAGGTGATTGGCCGCAATTCTGACAATTTTAATCCCATCTTCATTTGTTGACATGGAACAAGCAAGGTTTGCCACCTTCAATACAAGTAAAACAATGACAATTAGTTCAGATCACAGAGGAAAGACTGAAACGTTTGCTATTGTAGACAAAGAAGAGTATGTACACATTTACAGAAAATGCAACTTCAAGCAACATTTTTATAAATATCACTGATACCTCCTTCACAAAGTCATTCAGACAAACTATTAAATAACAAAAGGGAGCCTCAGGGAATCAACATAAAGAGAAAATGCTGGTGAATCAATCAGTAAGCCCTACATAGTCTCTTCTTATCAACATCTAACCCATAATAAGACATTCTTAGGGGACTGGTGAAGTTTATCTATGGATTGCATGCAAATAGGTTCTTGGAATCTTCTTTGATTGTGGTTTATTTTAAGATTGGAATTGTTTTATTATTTCCCAGAGGTCTATTATACACACTTAAGTTGCATTAAGCATAGCTGTATCTTATTCATGTTTTATTCAACATCAAATATGCTGGGATCCCAAGCTGGACAAACACAAGATAATTAAATATAATTTCCTGTTCTTGCTTTTCTACTGTAACTTAGTGAATACTATCTGACATTCTGGCAGCCAATTTAATTCAAGTATTAGTGACACCCAAATCTATTTTATACCTTTGAAAGTTACTCTCTTTTCCACTGATATGGTGTTTTTTTAAAAATAATTACCATAATAGCTATTACTTAGGCCTGGTATTTACAGAGTCCTTACCTCATGATATAACTTTGAGAAAGGGTGTGGAATTAATTTTCCTTCATTTGAACTTAGTTTATCTAAAATTCTTCTTGCTAGCACTTGAGAGTTCCTAAAGAAAAACAATATTTTTTTTCTTTTCTAAAACTCCAGTGTGGGGAGGTACACATGAAGTCAGCAAATACCTTGTAGCTCTTGTGCTAAAATACAAAATGAATTCAAATTCATGAGTTGTAGGAATAACAAATAGATAGCAAGTGTCTTTGGGCCACTATTTTAAGACTATGAATTGAAATTTGAATGGATATATGTCTTGCTTTTTCTGTCATCTTGTTTAATATGTGAATGGTGAAACAACTCCTGATTTGCTCTTACATAAGACAAAATAGCAGATATACACTAGTTAGCTATAAAGAAGGATTGTTCAATTTATTAATGTACATGAAAATGGCTTATTTGAAAGGGTTTTTCATTGGCTGGAAGGTCACAATACCATAGCTTTCATGTCTGACACATAATTAGTGTATTTGTGAATTATTTGAAAAGGGCAATGGTTTCAGTGCCCCTACTCCACCTCGCAAACCTCATTCACTGGTAGTGGAACTTTTGTGAATTTGAGCACTGATTAAATTTAAAATTGTGTACATTTTGTAGAATTCTCTAGTTAAATTAAAAGGATGCTAATTAATCTGAATCTTCAATTTACAGAAATTTGATCCTATGCAGACATTCTCTTCCTTCTTTTTCTTTTTTTCTCGGTGCTGAGAACCAAAGGCAGGGTCTTGTGGTTGCTAGGCAAGTCCTCAAACACTAAGCTCCCCTCTTCTTACCTCTAACTACACCTTACTTTTATTTTATCAAATAGAACGTGATAACATATTATTTCAAGGATGCAGAATCACTCTGCATCTCTAGAACCTTCACCCTGAGTCTGGTCTACTTGGGCAGTGTATTGTCTACAGAGCATCTTCAACATTGCCAACATCTGCTTTTTTCTCTTCTTGACATTGCACCTCCACCATTTTCAGGGGCCTTTTACAGCATGGGCTGTCTTTGGGACAGTATATTTTGCAGATGATCTTGTAGATCTTCTCTGACTCCTCCTTCACCACATATCTCCCTCCTTTAGCACCCTTTTGCACATAGTGTGGGGTGTGGGGCACAGGTACACAACATGGGCATGCAGCTGCACATGGCTTAGTCAGTCAATGGGTCTTTCTTGATTCTTCTCTGTATTATTTGTACTCTCTGTCTCTGTCTCTCTCTCTCTGTCTCTCTCCCTCTCTTTCTTATGTATCCTCTTTTTGCTTCTTGTCCATTTTGAAAGTTGGTAGATCAGGCTTTATCTTTTGAGCCACCAACCAGCTCCAAAATCATGACACAGAGACATTATTAGTCTTGAATGCTCAGCCTAGCTTATGCACATTTCTGGCTAGCTGTTTTAACTTAATCTGTTTCTCTTTATCTACCTTTTGCTTTGGGGATTTTGACCTTTCTTCCTTTTGTACATCTTACTTTCACTGCTTCTCTATGTCTGTTATCTGGCAGTGGCTGCCTGGCCTCTTGCCCTTGCCATCTCCCTCCTTTCCACTTTCTCCTTTCTCATTCTTTCCTTTCTTTTCCCTGAGCGTAGATTTCTCCTCCTAGTTATTCTGTCTTCCTGGCAGCCCTTTCTATCCCTCTTTCTGCCTTGCTATTGACTCTTTATTAGACCAATCTGCCTTAGACATGAAAGGTGAAACAAATGCAACACATCTCTTCACATCATTAAACACATGCAGCATAAACAAAAGTTAAAATAATATTATGTAACATAAACAAATGCAACCCATCCTTGCCTAGTTAAAATAATAGTCTACAACAGCAGATATTCTTGCCTGAACATTTCCTGGCCTTTATGCTATTACACAAACAATTATATAGAGGCATAACAAGGATCATTATCCCCAGACACTTTGTGTTTATGTTAGTAGAGTTAACTTTCACAAGACTATCCAATGAACATACAAAACAATTGGAAGTTAGATTTATGTTCAGTGTGTCTAGTGAGATAATGGTTGTGAGGTCATTTTTTTATCATCATTTGTTCATTGAAGAGATAGATAGATAGATAGATAGATAGATAGATAGATAGATAGATAGATAGGTAGATAGACAGAAAGACAGACAGATAGACAGACAGAAGAGAGTTATATATAAACATCACATCACAATTTTCCTATGTCAACTCAGCTTTCTAGGCAATCAAAACTGTTTCTCAAACTATTAGTTTTTGGCATGAGTTTGTCAAACATGATTAATTCATGGCAATATTCTGTGACAAAGAGAAAAGGTTGCATGGTAAACTGAAATCTTTTTATAATTTGAATTTGAAAGACTCAGAAAATGTTTTCCAAAATCACATCAATGTGTGAATGAAAGCCAAATTTCTTCCAATAATAATTAGTTCTGTGTGCCTATTCAGGAAAACAAGCATAGTATAAATGTGACTCCCTGCTTGTCACAGAAAACAGCATGCACATAAATATCTTGTAAAAATAATCTGAGGTATTTTGACATCTGACATCCTTGTTTATCTAACTTTGACTATGTTTCACAAATCTGAGCAAAGCTTCATTATACAGCACATTTCCATATAAATTTTCTCTTTGCTAAGAAAAACTGGGGACTACAGAGATTTCTTCTGAATATGGGGAAAATATTAAGTTTCCTGATTCTGTTTTGTTTCCTACAAAAAACATGACTGTACCTAACTCACAGGGTTACTAGGACAATTAAATGAGACACTGTATGGAGGTTTAATATCCAATTCTATTCTAATTTTTAACATCTCTGAGCATGTATGAATTCCCATCATTTTGTCTCTCAGCTAATGGGAGAAACAAAAGAAATTTTGAGTTCTCAGCAATGTTAGAAATTTAAGCCTTGTGTGCTCAATTAAATTTAGTGAAATCTCTAACCCAAGAATGATACAAAAAACAAGTCATTGAGCTAAATGGAACTCACTTAGTGATTGGGTAGAATGGTGCTTAAACCATTCCAAATGAATGTCAAAGGGATGCATCAAAGTAGGTTGAAAGTTCCCTTTCAGCCTACAGAGCTCACTTTAGTAGCCGCCACTGTGACCTCTTGGCTCACTGCTGCCCTCTACTGTGAACACAGGAAAAATGAATGGGCAGACAGCTCATTCAGATCAAAGGATGCACAATTTAAACAGATAGACACTTCTGTACACAGAGCTGACTTTTAGTGGATATTATCCGATATTCTTTACCTAAGAAAAGCAAAGTCTGTGTTAACTAAAATAACAACTAATAACTAAAATAATAACTAAAATAAACAAAACAAAAAGAGATTAATTACATCATTAAAATAATTACCAAAATTCTATCCAATAATTTTCCAAAACATCTTCAGGCAGGGATGAGTTGATATGTCACTGAGAGCTGATTAAAGTTTTCCACTGTTATCCCTCTGCCTGGGTTCTCCACTTCTCAGAAAACCCTCCAATATCTAAGATGTGAGTCACATTTGAAGCCCTATAGTCTTCCCTGATCTCATGATGTCCTATGATCTAGAGGAACTGTGTATTCTACAAACACATCAGTGCTGACACGTAAAAGCCTGACCAGCCAATTCCTGATCTCAATGATCCAATTGATACTCTTTTCATCCTAGCTTTGAGCTCATTCTATATACCAACTGCTACTTTCTTATCATGTTCACTACTAGCTGGAGATTGCATCTTTAATAATAGTTGACAGTAAATGTGGCATCCTTTACCATTTAACCAGTGGTCTACCATGAGAAATTCCTGTCATAACACCTTTCCTTCCAGAATTCTGCACTTATGCTGGCTTTACACCTTCCTCTGCAAGAAGGTCAAAAAGCTGACCACTGAGAATAAAAAGACTCCCTTGCCTGTGTCAAGAAATATAAATAGTGATAAAAAGGAAATCAAATCATGAATGTTCCCTATGACCCTTAAATAACTTTCTATTAGATAGTCACTATGCTGTGATATGGTAGAAAGTCTCTGCCTTTAAAGTACTTAATTACAGAGTATGCCAGGACTTAACATTTCAATATCAAGTTTCATCTGAATTCTTGCTATAGCCATCCTCTCAGCCATCTTAGCCAACTGACATGAAAGCACCACCAGAAAAACTAATTGTACCAATGGAGAGCTGTGTTTCAGCCATCATTCAGTCTGTCACCAACAAGTGCCTGTATAGTCTTTCTCAAGATCAAGAACTACATTCAGATGTTTGGTGAGATCTTCAGTGTGGCACACTCGTTGTGTGTCTATAAT